AAAATTATTTAAAAACTCTCTCAATCTTATTCATGACTTTGAGGGGAGTTTATTTTTTTATCATATTTATAAATTACATAATTAAATTCTCATTATAAATTTTTTCTTTTGACCTCTATTAAATATTGATGATAGAATATATATTATAAAAGTATATATATTTAATAGAAGCAAAACTTGAAACTTACTCTCCTTTATCCTTATTATAAGACACATCTAATTACCTCATCAAAACAAATGAGAGGTGGTTAAATTATTAATTTTATCTTAAAATAGAATAAATTCTAACTTTTAATTTTAACCCTATTTAAATGAAAAGTTTTTAAATTTGAGTTTCATTCTTTCTCATAATTAATAAGTTTAAATAGGAGTAATATTGAAAAACAATGTAAATAATACCCTATCAAATGCTCTATATTAAAGACCAAAAAAGAAGGCACCCTATAATAAGGATTAAAAAGAGTATTAAATATTTATATAAAGTTAACGAGTTTTAAGATTTTCTTGAATTATGATAAAATATGTTAAAAGTGACTCATAAATAGACAAATGAAGTATTAAGTAATAAGCAATCATTAGTTGAAAAAAATGATGTTGTCATTTCTATAAAACTTCTATTTGAAATAATTTATGACATAATTAATATTAATTTAATGTTATTAATGAATAGTAAGATTATATTAAAATATAGGAAAATTAAGTATCGGTCTCATGGAATAGGTTAATTTATAAATAAGTTTCATAAAATTCAAAAACTACAATCAAGTCCTTTAAAATTAAGTATCTTTTAGGAAATTATATGTCGATAACTATCTATATAACTCATGTAGACTTATTTTGATTACAAATCTAATTACAAGGCTTCACTTTTATTGGCTTTGGCAAGAGGTAATTACTTTCCTACTTATCATGCATGTTTGTGATTTTTTTTTAAACGTGTGATTCGATAAGTGTGATTAAAAAGTTTATAATATGCTTGATGAAACTGAAGCCTGAAATATATTATGGAAAATTCTACTTTGACACGGAATTGCCTTGTGGGACTCATATTTATGTGTTGAGAAATTGTTATAAAATATTAATGTAATGATTGATTTGGAAATGAATGTATAATTATTGGGAGTTAAATTTGTTAGATTGACAGGCGCAATAAAAAATTAAAATTTAAATCTCAATCATGATCATAGACTGATTAAATTTGTTTAAGCAAAGTGGATAGAAGAAATACATTTTCTAGCGTCAAACTTCTCAAGTTTTTTTTCAAGTGTTTGAACCTCAAGAGCTGACAATGTAGATCGACTCCCTCTATTGATATTCACATGAACAGCGTGTTACCGCTTCCAACTTCTGTTCATCAATCAAAGCTCCTTTTGTTTTTTAGGATATTTTCGTAACTCTTAAAATTTTATTGTCAATAGACTCTCTCACTAAAAACTCGTCCATTATCTATATTATATAGATTAAGGTTTTTGTAACTAACACAATTAAATTTAATTTATCTCGCAAAGTAAATTTATAATATCATGTCTAATTTAAATTTATCTTATAAATTTAAATTATAGAACTGATATGATGTCTTCTTATATCATGTTAGTCATTAAATTTAATTTATCATATAAAACTAAATTTAAAACTAACACAATAATATAATATAATATATTAGATATATATTGTTATATTATATATATACACAAATATATATATATATATATATATTGAAAATACATATATGCAAGCATGTTATATTTTGAATGTTATATTTCATATACATATATATACAAATATTTATTAGATAAATATTCAAATACATACACATATAATTAGTTCATCTTATATAAAACATTGCATTAATTGAATCTAGACACATTCCAGATTCAATAAACTTGGATATTATAACTCGAGTTAAACTATTCTTATGTGTGACCCTATGAGCTCATATGAAGTTGGCATTTGGCCAATAACGCTACTAGTCTATAAATCACAAGTGGCCTCTAATAAGATATTGCAACTACCTAATTCATATAAAGATTGATGATCCAATATAACCTATCATGCAATTATATCACGTCCCTTTTGTCACATGATATTTTGGTTAAGTATGAGATATGGAATTGTCATTTTCTTTCACTTGATGATTACTTTTTTGATCTCTGAGTGGAATGACTATGATAATGGAAAGACCCTTTTCATTATAGAATGGCCATGCATTTTTTCAATTTTACTCATCGAGTCACCCAATAATATTTCTTAATTAATGTAAGGGATAAATTCTATTTTGATCACTCATATTCTTCTTCATGTTATTGGGGTAAAAATGGAGAAAATTGATTAACAAGTTAGAATTAGAGGTATTTTGGTTGTTTGGATAAGCTCAAGGGTCAATGGCTATAAAGAATGGGTTATGTAAACTTAAAAGGTGTTGGTTGACCAATGTTATGTATTGAGAGATTTGTTTTAGCCAAGTAGTGTCCATGCTAAGTGTTAAGAACTAACTGAGAGATATTGTATTGTGTAAATTGATTACTTGAGAAGTTGTTTGCGAAAATTTGCACCCTAAAAAGTTCAATGTGATTAGTAACTCTTGGTAATAAGGATAAAAGATAATTAGAGTAACCATTTTATTTGTTAGTTTGTGAAATTATTTACAAGTACTTTATATAAAAGTATGCAATGTGTTTGTAAACTTATAGAGTAGCAATATTATGAAGAAAATATGCATGTGGGCGTGTAAGTAATGTTTGAAATGTATGTCAAAAGCATGCACATTTGTATTCGCGATTGTACCCTAAACTAAGGTAGGGGATCGTGGCCCTACTTTGTGTAAAGTTATGAAATCCTGAAGGTCTTGAGTGTATAGCTTGCTTTTCCAAGAAGGATTTAGGAGAATGATCCACAAGTATACCTTAAAATAGGGCAGGGGGTCGTGGTCCCATCTTATGTAAGGTTAGGAAGTCCTAAGAGTTCAGGTGTTGAGAATGCTTCACTAGTGGAGACCCAAGAGATTACCCATACTAATGATACTTAGTTTAAGACAAAGGTTTAGTGAGCCTTGTTTAGTGTAAGGCCGGAACTCTCGGTTCGAGCATTGAGCTTGCTCTGTTAGTGAGAACTAAAAGTGCATAAGCATAATGGATAGATGGGTATGATTTTGTGTATGTGCATACTTATACTATTTTGTTGAAATTTATGCTACTTTATCTTTTGTTTATAATTTTATTGATTAATCGGTATTTGGGGTTTATCCAAGTTATTGGGACGTATGTTTCACTTCATTATCTTTATATACAAGCGAAAAGAGCAAGAGAAGGTTGGAAAAGAAAGTAAAAAAGGGCTAGCTTCTTTTCGATAGTGATATGATCACTTGAATGTAACGAATTGTATAATAGTGCAGCTAAAGGTTTAAGTTGTCAACTAGGATGTATGAATATATGTGAACGTGTATATATAAACTTGTTGTTAAGAACTTGCTTGTGTATATAATATTGCATCTCACTGAGTATATCACAACAGTAAATACATGGGTAGGCCTAAATGCTATCCAAGCAACTTTATGTTATGTCATATAACTTATTTCACTTGCATTGAGTGAGAATTTTTGGCTTTTGGCTTGGGGTGTAAAGCTTATAGGGTGGGTGCAAGGCTTCTGGTTTGATTTATGGGTAGGGTATAAGGCTTTTGGCTTGAGAAATATATATTGAACAATAGCTTTTGTATTTTTTTTCCTAATTTCATTGATTTAAAGAGAGAGGTATTTTGATCATTTATATTTTTTTAATGAATAAAATATTGCATTTGATTTTTGAATTATATTTGGTTCTTGGGATTAATTTTCCTTTCAGCAAAGTCCCTTTCACTAATTTTTTCTTTTTTATTTTATTTATAAACTTATTATTCATGAAAATTTAAAATGTAATTTGAAAACCAAGTAATTGAAAAAAAATAATACTTTGATATATTATCATAAAAACTTAGTATGAAAATGTGTTAACATGATATCACAAAAAATATGCTAACATAATATCATAAAAAGATAATATAAAATTTTTTATTAAATTTCACTAGTCAGAGTTAGGCGTGTTTTAGCTTTTTTTTATTTTAAATAAAGTGAAAAAAGATGATTAACGTAGCAAAAAAATGTAAAAAAATAGTATTTTTAAAAAAGACCACTAGTAAAATTTATTATCCTCACGACAAATGTAAAGTAAGGTATTTTAATAATAACTTGTTTTTTACAATTCTTTTTACTCTTATACACATTAAAAATATGAACTTTTTATTTTATTCATAAACTTTTTACTTGTGAAAAAAAATTAAAAGGTAACTTCAAAATTAGGGTAAGACTCATATAACTAGCTTCATATACTTAATATGCCTGTATATAATCAAATAATGATTAATGAATTTTAATGAGTTAAAAAATTAATAAAAATAATTTATTATAAAATAAATAATCTATAAAAGATTTCTATGTTAATAGTCATATAAATATAAAACATGTTAATATCATATTATATAAATATAATATGAAAATATTTTTTAAATGTCAATAGCCATGATGAAGCATGTTTTAATTTTTTTAACAAAATGAAAAAAATGTTGCATAAAAAAAGTTAAGACAAAAAGTGATGGAATTATAAAAAAAGGAATAAATGATTAAATTATCTTTTAAACTTTTTAATTCAATAGTATAATAAATCATGAACTTATTTATAGTGTAAAATATTTTTTTTAATTTTTAAAAACAGCACAATGTTATAGTTATTAATAAAAGTTAATTTTAAACATTATTTGATTATATAATAATAGAAAAGAATATATTTTTTATCATTTTATTTATTTTTATATTTTTTATTATAATTTTTAGTTTTTTTAATAATTTTTAAAGTATCTTTTTTATCAAAAAAATGGTCAAAATGGACAATTGGCAAATTGTAAACCCCCCCCCCCAAAATCGAGGTGCAATTTACACATTTAACATTGTTTCTAGGTCCTTTCGTGTCATTTTCCCGGAGTTTTTACGGATATACGTCATACGCCCATCTCAGTTCCCAGATATCATCTACATTCTGCAGCCTGGGAGATGAGACACTGCCGTCCTGCGTAGCTCTTCATCTATGGCGGCTGCTCTTTCAACGGTGGTAAACCCCTTCCTCTTCCATACCTTCTCCAGGAAACCTTCAAATCACCGGGAAATGTTTCCCGCTGACTGCGTCTTCCTTTGTCGATTATCCATTATTAAAATTATTATTTTGGGCACGGCTGGTTCTTCCATTAATGGCATGCTAAGTGTCCCTTGTCCTTTGAAATTTTCCTCATACCCATGAAATAGAAAAAATGTGAACGCTTTGTGATTCTTAATTTCATTTACGCTTCACTCGTTTTCGTTGTCTTGGCGCAGTCAAATGTCGGGTCTTTGCCGAGTCCACAAAACGGAACTGGGATCAGAGTTATGTATCCTATGAACAGTGCTAGTTCATTTAAGCTCGCGGGATTTCCTACGCGATCGAATATATGCTCCTCATTGAGCGCCTTTGCTGGTTCGTTGCGTTTGGTGCCTTCCTCTTCTTCTCGGAATGCTTCTTCCCCAGAAAGAACGCGTTTTACCAGCTTGGTTCAGGCCAGTTCTGAGGTCAGGCGTTTTTCTTATTGCTCTTTTTATCGTCATTGCTATTATGGCTGCTGGTGGACTGTTAATTTTGTTAAAATTCAGAAGAAATAACCAGCATTGGTATACATACGAGGAAAGGTCGAAGTCATTGTAGGTTTGTGGTTTTGAGTTGTCATTTTTCTGGCAGTTATTGATTTCTTAAAGTATTTTCTGCTTCGAATCTTATACTTCTTGGACTAACTATCCGCGAGCTAGGGCTATCAATTGTAGTCCATTGGATTTTCTGAAGCTTAAATAGCTCAGCTCTGGCTACTATATCGATCACCATCAGTTTAACTTGCCTTGTATTTTGTTTATTTTCAGGAAGCACCTTTACAATCAAAAATTAGTCACAAGGTGTATTTTGACATAAGCATTGGAAATCCTGTGGGGAAGCTTGCTGGAAGGATTGTGATTGGACTCTACGGTGATGATGTGCCCCAAACAGTAGAGAACTTCCGAGCCCTTTGCACAGGTTGTTGTGTAAATCATTGGATAAACTGTTTCACTGCTTCTAATGTTCTGCCTGGTTCACTTTGATCAGTGTTAATAAATCCTGATCTTTTCATCGCTGCAACTTTGTCTCAGGAGAGAAGGGCTTTGGGTACAAAGGTTCTACGTTCCATCGCGTAATAAAGGATTTCATGATTCAGGGAGGGGACTTTGACAAGGGGAATGTGAGTACTGTTCTTACTTCTTATGTTCGTGGAATTACAGTCCAAGAACTGCAGTTTACTTGACCAGATACTTTAACTCCACTCTGTTTTGATGTACGCTTGGGAATAGTTATAAGAAACTGGAATGGCTTTGACTTTTTTGAAGTTATTTCCCTTTTTATTATGCGTTTTTTGTTATTAGCTTTTGTGCACCTTTTTTGGGTTCACATACATTGTGTTGGGCTGATTCATTACACGATGAGGTGCATGAAGTCTATGGCTCAAGACAGACCTGCTATTTAATTTCCAGGGGTACTATGTACGTATGCCATTTCCTGGAATAGCCCATGTGCTCTGCTGTCAGAATCATGTTATAATGATTGATCTTCCAAATGGGTTGCCAAAGTCAACTTTTCTTTTGCAAATCAGTGTGGTCATCAAGGGTAGTGATGTTGTACAAATTGATGCGGTAGCACAAGTTTTAGTCTTGTTCAAGGATGTTAAATAATGGTATCTTTTATCAGTCAAGTGGCCAGAGAAATCACATCCATGGAGGCCACCTTGATTTGGTTTTTGGTCCTCTTGACTTTAGGCTAGCATAAGAGTGATTCTCTCCTTTTAGTTGTCTCTAATCTCTATATTTAAGATCTCTGTTTTACATGTTTTATATATTCTGTTATCACAAATCTTCATGACATGCATAATGCCAACTCTCTTTTAAGTTCCTAAAATTTTTGTTTCTGTTGAGACCCTCTTTCATGTGTATTATTTACCACAAAAAAAAAAAAAGCTGAGATTCCCTCTAATTGATGTTAGATATACGAGAAAGGGCTTAGATGAATTACAGCTTGATGGACCCATGACTAATGAGTCACTATCCAATGGGCCAAGCCCAAGACATGTGGAGTGCGTAAGGACTGTGAGAGATGAAGAAAGATAGAGAGGACTATTTGCTGCATATATTTAGGGAGTGACGTTTTAGTGAGGCAGGCAGATAGTGAGTACTGTGAGGGAGGGTGCCTGGTCTCTCAAACACCAGGTTAGGGGTGGAGGAAGTTCCTCTTTCTTCATCATTTTCCTTTATCCTTTATGCTTTAAGAGTATAATCCATTCGTAGGCCTTGTTAGAGTGTGGGCTTAGTTTTTTGTCACTTTCAGTATCTTATTTCCATTGTGAATCTTTTTATAGCTTGCAAGTGAGTTGTAATAGACTTCTATTACTGTTTTATTGAGCTATATATTCAATAGAAGAATATTTTAGTTTTATTTGGATCTGGGTTCTATCATTTTGGTATTAGAGCAGGTCAAGTTGGGGAAAATGGCGAGTTCTCAGGCAGCCACAGCCAAAATTGTAGGATTATTGAAGGATATGGAAGAAACAATGAACGAAATGCAAACAGCATTGAAGAAGGGTATAAGGCGTTCAAAAAATGGAAAAACTTATTGAAGATATAAAAGACAACTTGAGGAGTGTGAAAGAAGAGAAGGAAGCAGAAACTGAAAGGAGTATAGAAGAAGGCATTGTTGAAGTGGACTTAGTACTGATGAAATTGAAGGAGGGGTGGAAATCTCAACCAAAAGAAACTGGAGAAGGGAATTATATTGGGGTGGGAGATAATGAATTTGTAGCTCTCAAGAACTCAAATGAAGGGAAAACATTTAAGGAGGATATGAATGATGAATTGAAGTTAATGTTGATCATTAAAGGAGCTAGGAGTAGAATGGAAGAATGTTGTGTCTAAGGAGAAAAGACATTTTGTGTGCACCTGCAGCAGCAGCAAGTTTTGGCAGTAGAGGGCGTTGACAAACATAGCAAAAAGATGTTTTGCTCAAACTAGGAAAGGCGATGACGTCAGGCAGAACACCTCAAGGACAAGGACAAGGACAAGGAGGGAACAAAATGGGTATTGAATCGGGTATGGCACATTAATTAGGGTAAAAGCCCTAAATGCTTATGGGAAGGAAAAGCCTGTGTTCTTTATTTGATAAACCCTAGCCACAATAACTTGGCCCAACAACTAAGTTGGACTAGTTATTTTATTTTTAACCCTACCCAATATGAAAAGCCACCAAAACATGCTAATACGTAGTGTTTTGTGACAGAGAGGGTCTCTTCATTTTCATTTTTAACGCTAAACTAGGAGAGAGAGATTTCACTTCTACTGAAGTTGCGCCACTTTGAGGAGTTTTCTTAGCTCTTCATTGTTAACCCAGTAAGAAATGATGGCTATAAAGCTGCTCTTTGTCACAATTGGGTGTTCGGCTTTGGGATTTATGCACACCCCACTTCTTCATTCACAAGTTTCAGACCGTCTAGAGAAATTTTCTGGGCTTTTGGGATTTTGGAAGAGACATATTGGAGTGGGAATAGCCTTGTGTGAATTTCTGCTGGAGCTAGCGCAACAATGAGCAAACCAGCATTAAAGTTCCTCACAACAGTTGCAAAAGTGCTGATGAAGGCCTAAGAAATTCTGTGTAGCAAAAAAATGAGGGGGGTTATAGTTGGGGTGTTCGAGGACAATGATAAAGGTAAGAACCAAAAATTGATGCTTCCTCAACTGTTTTTAATATCGGAAGATAAAGAGGGATGTAAAGAAACGTTGTAGAAGCAGAAAGATGGCAATTATGATTTTTGAGAAGGTAAGCATGCGAGTATTGCTTCTGCATATGTATGCTCTAGTTTACGGGATGAGTCAAGAAGAGCAACCATGGCTTCTTCCTTATTTATTGCCAACACAAAAAGAAAAGGAGAAACATGGGAACTTGTCAAGCATGGTGGGATATTTTGGACATGTTATTGGGCTTTTCCATTTGATCCCCTTATAGCATGGAAAAAGCTCCACATGAATGCCCATATCAACATTCTATTTATGTGTTTGGTGTTGGTTGAAGTGATATTCTGGTTTGAGAAGCAAAATAAATTTGTATGGGCTGAAACTTGTGAGCATGAAGGTAGCAACAGAAATTTGGCATTGCTATTTGATAGTTCTATGCCTACACTCTACCTGGTAACTTGTTCAAGAATCAATGCTTAATTTATCCCTGGATTAGCAAGTGGATTAATAGTTGTTACAATAGCTTTCACTTGTGGTTTGCATGCGTTTATCATTGCTGTCAATAGCAGAAGGAGTAGACACATGAACCAGCCAAATTATTTTCTTCAAGCGCCTGATATTTCCCAATCTATGGCATCATCAGTTGCTGTTGGAAAACTCAAGTCTTGGTTGTGTAACCTCTCAAGCTACATAGTTGAATATAATACACTTGAGCAGTGGCCCATCTTGTTTATTACTGATGATAAAATATTTTATTATGGAACAAGAAATGATGCAAATTGTTTTCTAGTTGAAGAAAAGGGAGGCAAAGGAGTTGCAAATAGAATAGACTTTGGCCATACAGTAGTGTTTTCAGGCATTCTACATTTGGCTACAAAAAGGAACTGCTACATGGCCGCTAATGAATAACAAGTGATTAAGTGTTGCAATATTGCTAAAATCAAAGCGCTCAGATGTAGAAGTCCTGGCATGGCTCTTCTTGTCCTGTATTCAAATAGGATTCAAAACCGACTTGAATTGAGTCATAATGAGCAAATTTTTAGGGGACACATCTTAACAAGTGTTGGTCTACAAAATGGCAACCATATCTTCTATTTGCTAGAGATTTTTCAAGCAAACCAAAGTTAAGTTGTTTACAAAGGAATCATCTAATGCTCAATTCTCATTTTCCCCTGGAGGATAAGGTGAAGCTTGAACGGCTAGGTAATGATAGACCCATGACTAATGAGTCACTATCCAATGGGCCAAGCCCAAGACATGTGGAGTGCATAAGGACTGTGAGAGAGGAAGAGAGATAGAGAGGACTATCTGCTGCATATATTCAGGGAGTGACATTTCAGCGAGGCAGGCAGAAAGTGAGTATTGTGAGGGAGGGTGATTGGTCTCTCGAACACCAGGTTAGGGATAGAGGAGGTTCCTCTTTCTTATCATTTACCTTTATCCTTTATGCTTTAAGAGTATAATCCATTCATAGGCCTTGTTAGAGTGTGGGCTTAGTTTTTTGTCACTTTCAGTGTCTTATTTCCATTGTGAGTCTTTTTATAGCTTGCAAGTGAGTTGTAATAGACTTCTATTACTATTTTATTGAGCTGTATATTCAATAGAAGGTTATTTTGGTTTTGTTTGGATCTGGGCTCCATCACAACTATGGAGTAGAAATGTAGAAAAAAGTGATAGACTGTAGAAATTCAGAAGAAAATAATAGGCTGTCTTTCTCTAGCTTTTAGAAGGCCAGAGATTCTCCTTTTAGTCTCTTACATTTTGCTTGCTTTCTATCACTCTCCCATTCATGCCTATATTTCCTCACCCAAGTTAGTAAGGCTATTTTATCCATTCTTCTCTTTCTCCTCTCATGAGTCTTCAGGGGTTCGATTGCATAGGTGCAACTCTCTTTTTTGCTTTCATATTTTCTCAACTGTGATTGGATCATTGCAGGCCTAACAATTTCATACTTATTTTTTGATAGATGATATGTCATTCATATCTTTCTTTTCCCCTTAATTAGATTAGGAGGGTTTAAATCTTGGATCTCTACCCATATGCCACCCTACTCTTGTTGCTGGATATCATTCATATTTTAAATGTTTTTTTAAACTAATTTTTGCTTATCTATACCTACTCAAGTGTGCACAACAAATATGCAAAGAGATGGCAAATGGTCAAAAGTTTCTTCCCCACAATGTAAAGAAGCATGCTGTTCAACTTCAAAAATGCTGATGTTTCCCTTTGGATCTAGTAATTTAGACAAAACGAATCTTTGGAATGGAGAGCCTAAAATTCAAAGGGCTGATTCAGTGAAAGGTTTTCAACCCATATCTTTATGCAATGTGAGCTATAAAAATATGAAATTCTGACAATAAGTCATAACAAACAGGTTCAGCACTGTTTTGGCTTAGGTTGTGGGACATCAAAGAAGTTTCATTTCTAGTAGACAAAATGTGATATCATAATCATGCCTAGGAAGTCAGCCATTCTATGAAAGATTAAGAAGGGGGATAAAGAATTCACAACAATTAAAGTAGACTTGAAAAAGCCTATGATAGGCTTGAGTAAAGCTTCATCCTTCATATTTTAAAGGAAGTCGGCTTTGATGATAAACTTTGTAAGGTAATAATGGCATGCATTTAGAGTCCATGACATATTCTTTGGAATAGGGAGCTCATTGAAAGTTTCAAACCTTCAAGAGTTCTAAGCCAATGAGATTCAATCTCTTTACATTTTTACTTTATGTGTGGAGAAGTTGAGCCATGTTATTGAGAATAGTATTAAGGAGAAAAAGTGGAAACCCATCCAACTTAATAAATAGGGGGCCTATGCTTTCTTAGATTTTGTGGTCTTAGGACAAAAAAAAAATGAATAGAAGCAAGACTAAGGCAGCTTGTTTGAGAAATGTTCACTTCTCTAGAGCTTATGACCTTAGCAAAAAAACTTGATGTTGGGCTCACAAGAGACCTTGGAAATACCTAGGAATTTCTTTGATATATAAAAGAACCTCTTCAACTTATTTGCCCTTGCAAATTAGAAAGGGAAATTTCTAAAATTGGCAAGAAAAACTACTCTTATTTGGTTGGTTATCTCAGCCTTATCGAGTTACTATATGAATACCGTGCTCCTTCCAAAATAGCTATTAAAAGAAGTTGTAAAGTGCTGCTGAAGATTACCTTGGGGAAGCGCAGAAGAGGAAAGGAAGATCCATCTTGTTTCTTGGAGTCATGTGTTGCAAGGTAAGAAAGGGGAGGCTTGGGTGCAAGGATCTAGGTAAACAAAATGAAGCTTATGTGATGAAGTTATGTTGGAAAGTTTTGACTTTTGACTCATAATAACATCCTTTGGGTGAAGGTGCTAAGAGCTAAATGTAATTGTAGGGATGAGGTGGCACCTTTGGTTAAGAAGAATGGTAATTCACCTTTAACTTGGAGAGGTGTTTTTCAGTTTGGGATAAATTTAAATTGGGTGAAGCCAGGAGAATTATAAGCGGGGAACATGCGTCTTTTTGGTTTGATGATTGAACTAGCCTTAATCTGCCCCTTGTAAATTATGTGATAGAACCCTTTATTCTAATAAGTTTAAAACATGCGAAAACCATAAAATAAACTATAAATGGACTCAAAATACTATTACTGAATGATAAAATTGGATTACAAGGAAGATAATCAAGCTAACCCCGTCTCCCTCATACACCCATATTATAGAGTAAATAGACACCATAGAACAACTTGGATTGTAAGTTACTCACTAACACACTAAACATAGAAAGAGAAACTGATGAAGCAAGATAATCTTCCTTCACCCCAACTTGGCATTTGAGAAGCCAGAATTCTCCTCATCACTCTCAATTTCCAAAATACTACACACCCTCTTACACAAACTTATAGATTTAAAGAGCCAAAAAGTAGATTACCCCTCCCAAAACACTACCTAGCTTTACTATGTTAGCAGAGTGACGAGGTTTTATGATTATGTTATTAGAGTGAATGATGAAGTTAATTTGAATGATAGGGTGGCTGCTTTTCTGCTTTCGTTAGGGGAGGGGGATAGAGCAAAGTTAGAGTATTGGTTACCGCAAGATATTGTTAATCTTGTCACTCACGTTCATCCTACTAGTGAGTTGTGAGGGGGAGATGCCTTTATACGGAAACCATCCTGAGATGGTATTTTCACTGTTAAGTTTGCATATGCTTTTTGACTGCATGTACTAGTTCAAGTAAAGAAAGCTTATGGAAGATGCTATGGAGGCGTGCAATATGAAAAAAATAAAAAATTTAAATCCTTTCTATGGCTGCTTGCTCAGGACATAGTTTACATTGCGGAACTTGGGAGAAGGAGATTATCAGTGTAAGCACATGCCCTCTAAGGATGCAATGAGGATGAAACAACCATGTGCTTGATCAGAGATTGCTAGAATGCCTCAGACAAATGGAAGAGCTTCCCTATCTGTTTTTCCATTTTGTCTTTTTGCCTCCAGTCATTTGCAGGACTTACTACTAAAATGATTATTCATCAAATTTGAACCTTGTGAAATCAGAACTGAGATAAATTTCATAGGCTGCAAGGTAAAGATTGCTGAGATGGAACCTGATTCATAAAGCTGGGAAGAATTTTACTAAAAAAGTGCCACAGAACATTCTTTTTGCCTACACTCGCAGCGATGTCTGGACAAGGAGGCACTCCAAGCTGTTCAATGGTGAGTCCAATGAGCTAATGGGGGATGCTTTAGAGAGTATGTTCAAAGTGCAACAAGACATGCAGCTCCTAAATTCCAGTTCACTTAAGCTGGGATGAGTTAACCTCAACTAGAGATACATCAAAGGATCACTTTCACGCTAGAAATGGATGGTTCAGCAAGGGACAAAGAAAGCAGCTCGCTCATGTGGAGTTGTATTATGGATGAAAGATAAAGAGTGGGTGGTCCTCATTTGCTGTAGAAAGGGGGAATATCCATCTGCTTTCACTGAAATTAAAGGCATGATCAAGGGATTAGAAGTCTGCTGGAATAGAAGTGTGAGAGATGTGCAAGTGGTCTTGGACTGTGCTCAGCCTTAGGCAATCAATCTGATTAGTAGAGAAGTTGATAGAGATCACCCGTACATTGATGTAATAGTGGAAGCTAGACTTTTGTTCATACACAGTGGAATATTTCTATATTTGACTCCAGAGAACTGGTAAGGAAGGGTGATTTTTTTTTTTTTAATAATCTAAGCTTACAGGTTAGATTGGTATTTTTGTACATTTGATCATCCCCCACCTTGATTAAGTGAAGATGTGAATGATGAGGGGTTAAGATAGTCTTTCCCTAGTTTCTTTCCTTGCTGTATTTTTTAGTGTTTTAAATGAAATTTCAGTTTTCTTTCAAAAAAAAAAAAAATCTTGTAACCCTCATTGAGTCCACCTTTGCTCCTCCTGAACCCTAAAAATTTGTAGCTATTATCAAAGTAATACTGATAATTAAGCAACAGGGCATAGAGTTGACTTGAATCATTTAGAGCTAATTTCATCTGTTTGGCAGTTAGCATCATTTTTACCTCATTCTTGTTCTATCAGTTCCATAAATTTTGACATTTGACTAGAGAAGTCCATGATGCATTGTGCATTTTGTTCGTCTTAGTTCAAACCTAATGTTTTGATATTATTCAAAGAATCTATTTTTTAATATCATGAACTTGCATTGCTGGTACATTAATCTGATCCATGAGTTCTTGAAACTATTTCAGGGAACTGGAGGTAAAAGTATTTATGGCCGCACTTTCAGAGATGAGAATTTCAAGTGTGAGTTTAACCAAGTTTATGCCTTTCATAGATCTTGCTTGCCTAGCATAATGACGCTGCATTATAAGAACTGGCTTAGCTACCTTGAAAATGAAGGGGTGCATAATGTGATTGATGTATCAGTTTATCTTAGAGAAATTTTTGTCAGAGTAATTCTTGAAAAAATAATGTATGATTAGGTTACGAAGTTGTGATTTATAAAGAAGAAATTACTTGTAGTGCATCGAAAGTAAAGAGAAAGAGCAGTGGTGCAGTTGTAGTGCAAGTGCAGGTTGGAAGCCTATCTTATTTACAGTGTTTAATGAATATGGTTTTTCTCTCTCTTTTCTCTCTTCACCCTTTCACTCAATTTTCTCCAGAAGTTCATAACATGATATTTTGACATTGCAACTATTGACCTTTTCTTTTATTTTCATCATGCAATTCCATTGAAAACTTTTTGCAAATATAATACTGATATTTAGAATATCTGTAGTGTCTCATGTAGGACCAGGAGTTGTTAGCATGGCAAATGCGGGCCCCAACACAAATGGGAGCCAATTTTTTATATGCACTGTCAAGGTATGTTTCCGTTGCTCTTCAATATTTTTATTATCAGAGGGGTATCTTCTTGTCCCCCATGCTTATTATGGTTAGAGAGTAAACAAGTTTTATAATCACCTTCCCACGCCTCAAAAGGAAAAAAAAAAAAAAATCAGAGATCCCTGTGGATTCTGTGCATGTTTGAAACTCTGGGTTTTCAATTGATATGGAGCCATGTTGTCATCCTCCACTTTTAAAAAAACGCATGCTATTAATAATTGTGACTGGTGAGCCTGCTCTGCCATCTTGTCCAACTTTTGCATTAATAATTTCTTTGTTCAATTGAGAAAGACCATGGAGTTTACATGAGGATTAAAATTTGAGACACCCGTTTCTAAATTTGATGATTGTGATCGAAGTACCACCCTATTTCTGGTGAAATTCAGTTGCTCAAATTAGAACTTTAACGTGCTATTAATGGGACATTGCTTATGATCCCTTGTCTTGACTTAGTTTACATGTTTACAGACACCCTGGCTGGATCAGAGGCATGTAGTATTTGGCCAAGTTTTGGAAGGCATGGACATTGTTAGGTTAATTGAATCACAGGAGACAGATCGAGGTGACCGTCCGAGGAAGAAGGTGGTTATCATTGACTCTGGTGAGCTTCCAATGGCTTGACGGTGTTTTACATTTCTGTTAGTCGCGCTCAGATTCTGATTAGTTTGTTCTCCCAAAACCAGAAGTTTACTCCTTTGAAATTTAGTTGACTAGTCGGGAGTGCAGTGCTTTTTTGTTTTATTATCATTTTTATTTAATCTACACGCTAAACTTGAAACTTTATGCAGCCATCTTTATTCCAGACTTCTAGTAGAATTAAAAGTTAAGGAAATTTCCAATCTGAATGGCCTTGGATAGCGATGGACTTGTAAGGATGTTTGGACAAGATTTGTTGTCCAATTGTTGTGGTCATTGCAAGTAAATGGTGGTTAGACTTTCCTTGTTGGCATCAACGTTTCAAAAATTGGGTTGGATGATAAACTGGAAAGGTTAGCGTGTGACAGTTTTCAATAGTTTAATTGGTTAAATCACGGGTCAAATTAGTGATATAAAAATTAAATAAAAATAATATTTATTTATCTTATTTGTCCTCTGAGTAAATAAGTTCAATTTTTTCTACTGTTCAATTCATGTAATGTTAGTATACAAATCACTCAAAATTTTACTATAACAAATTAGAAGGAAGTTGATGTTAATATTTCTAAATTGAATGAAAATTTTTATTATTAAAATAAGAGTAAAAAGAAAAAAAGGGTTCAAAACAATCCACCTATTCCAGGTTTCAGGTTAATTTCGGTCCTGTCAAAATCACTTGGTTCTAAATGGTCCAAAAGGTGCTAATTTCTATAATGTGTTAACGAGTAAGGTTAAATCGATTGTCTTTGGGTGGTGGTTTGACCATCGTAGTTTGGGTTTTAAGAGTACCGGTTGGCATATATATTATCAAGTAAATAGGATATCAATGCGTGCCATTGACATCTGGAACATCTTTGCATCACAATTCATAGATAGAAGACCCCTAATGAATTAATACTTTAGAAGAATTACATTTAGTTTTCACATTAAAAAATTGATTATTGCAAGATCCATTGACAACTGTCAATAGTTTTAATTTAGTTGTCAATGAACTTTGTAGTGATTAATTGTTGTGTAGAACTTCAATATAATTCTCACTAATTATTTTTATATTTTTCTTTTTTATTTATTTTTATCTCAAATAAAAAGAGATGCATGTATCAAAAAATAAAAGTTGAAGGTCATTTTTGTTTCTTAATTTTACTTAAAAAGTCTTTACGCTTTGCAAATTTAATTATGAATTAATTTTGTCTCTCAACTTTAAAGATTTCTTTCCTTATCATCCTACTGTTATGTTTATTGTTGATGGGCATTGCATTCAATTTTTAAATATTTTTTTTACTATAAAAATGTTGAACTAAGTGTTATTTTTATTCTTTAACTTTACTTTTAAAGAGTTCTTCAAGGAATAATCTCCAAGGACTAACAGACATGAATGAATAGTTTCCAAGGAATTCTTCTTGCTTAAGTGCCACCATCTTCATTTTTGGCATTCCACATAATCCATTCTTGCAATGGCAGCATAAATAGAACTAGTTTTTGAAGAAAATGACAATTAGGGATTTGAAAGAACATTAATAACAATTATATATCTTATACTATTGAAATTCCAACAGAAGATCATGGTCCATATTTGCAATATATTATTTTTTATTGATTGACTTGAGATTAATAATGAATATTAGTAAATTCTCAATTAACGTTACAAAAATTTTCAACAATCTTTTGTTGATTTTTCAAATGATAGCAAAAAATTATAAGTAATTGATTTACTATTCACAACTAATTTTTATAAATTTTTAACTAATATTACAAATAATTTTAAATGTATTTATCAAATTTTTCAAGTGATTCATCCATATATTGAAAGAAAAAAATCGTAAGTAATTCACTTATGATTCATAACTGACTTTCGTAAATTCTCAACTAATATTACAAATAATTTTAGATATATTTACTTGATTTTTAAGTGGTTTATGTAACACACCAAAATTTTTTTTAATAATTTAACTCAATCATAGTTGGGTTACAGCCACCCAACACATTTTATATCAATAATTTCGATATAAAATATTTTATAATTGGCTTCAACTCACACACTATAACATTTCAGATAAATTTTTACCTCCCACATGCCATTAGACTAAATCACATTTGTCCATCCTTATACTCCCAACAAGTAAACTAAATCACATTTGTCCATTCTTATACTCCCAACAAGTAAAATAAGCAATTTAGTCAATTTTCAACACAAGCCAGTTATTTGGCCTTATAATCATGCCATTTTAACCAATCCAAAGTAAACCAAATATTAAAATTACAGTCATCCAAATTGTATCAAAAATAAAAATAGTTTGAAAGGCATGATTACATTTATATATTCATATAATTGACAATAAACAAAAAGCCCTAATATTAGCAATATAACACATTATAAATCATAAATTAAATACCCAAAAGAAACAGTGGATCTATACCACTAAGCCTCTGGGACTCCTCCACGTGTCACTTGTGGCTCTTCTCCTGAAAATTGTTAACCACATAATGAGACTCAAAAGTCCCAGTAACCAAAGCCAATTTATGATAGTATATACAAACAGTTAAATATGTGCTTACTAAGTGAGAATTAAAAATAATATAATTCCAACAAATATATGAAATATTACAATACACACAAACAACCATCCTTATATCCCTCCATTAACCTCGAGCCGTAGCCCTCACTCGGTGCTAAATTACCCGGCCAAAGGTAGATTAGCCCGAGCCCTTACAAACCACCTATTGAGTTCCAATAGGGGCATACCACGTGGCACATAAATACAACAACAATAGCAAGTCTCCCAACACCTCCCACAATAATCAAATAAATTTATAATAATATTGCACAATTATATAATATTGCAAAATTTATAATTTTCTCAATAATCACCCAATTAACATGAAGTAACACTAATCATAAATTAAAAGCATGGTTACCTTGTGGCTTTTTCAATAAATTATTCCTTAAAATTTCTCTCTCACCACAATCTTCACCAGTAATACAATCTACAAATAACATATTATTTATAAATATTAGTTTCAATTTTTGAAACTAATAAAATAATTCTAATAATAGAATTAAAAATATAACATAATTCCTAATCTCAATCTTAATACAAATCTATAGTTAATACTATTAAGTATAATTTTTAACTCCTCTTTTAATTATCAAAAACATTAATAATCTAAAAATCAACTTCTAAACTAATTTTTATTATCAAAATTTTCTTTTTATTTCATAAATTCGTACGTAAAATACCCAAAAATTAAAAATTAAGTCTCTAGCTTAGAATCATAATCCTATAGCCATAATAATTCATTTCTCATCCCAAATAATCATCTAAATCTCAATAAATCAACATATATTTTCAGATCTAGTCTAGAATTTGATCCATAAGCCACAAATTCAAAGATCACCAATAAATTTATACTCTAGAATATTTATTATACTACTAACAACCTCAAAAACCATATTTATTCAACATAAATTTATCCCTCTTCCAGATCTTAAATTTTCTACCACTACAAAATCAGAAACCAAAGAAGAAAGATGACTAAGAAAAATTTTTAGAACACTTACTTAGTCTTGAAAAGCTTAAAATCACACCCTAAATATCCTATTAAAAACTCTTACCTTAAAAATTTAGATATTTCGCACCGGCAACTCGCTTCTCTCCGCCTCAGCTAGCGCGCAGGAAAGGAATTGAAGAAATGAAAGGAAACGGGTGAGTTTTATAAAAATTCAGTGGGTCCCACACATTTTTTTTTATTATTTCTTCTTCTCTCTCCCCCTTTTTTTTATTATTATTTTATATTTACTATTCATGCGGCGCCGAAAGCAAATTCGTTTTCTTCTTCTTCTTCCTTTTTTTTTTGGCATACCTTTTCCCCTTTTTTTATTATAATAATAATTTAATAATTTTTTTATTAATTTTTTTTAATTAATTTTTTTAATTTAGAATTATATCCTAAATTAGATTTAATAATTATTTTCTACTAATTTTCTTACATCTAAATATTATTTTTTTTTTAAATTTCTATTAACCTAAATTAACTATTAAAATTTAAATTGGGATGTTACAGTTTATTTGTATATTAATAGTAAAAAATTGAGATTCTCAACTTTCATAAATTTTTAATTGATATTACGAATAATCTCAAGTATGATTAGCAGATTTTTCAATTAAGTATTCACATTTTTTTAATTACAAATAAAGATTATGGTCTTTCATTGAGATTTTGATAATTTAAATTCTATAATTATCATTAATATCCTTACAAGTCTTTAATTATCATTTCCCCTAGTTTTTGAGGCTTTGGTGCGGTCATAAGGAATGTAAATGGTAGCTTTAGTGCAACTAAAAACAGACATATCTTAGGGGCTAATATTGTCATCTTTTGTTTTCACTGTGTTTGATTAGACGCAGCGCATTGCAACTTTGTGGAAAAAATATTAAATCTTTTCATAAGCAAGACATTTCAAGATTGTCAACTGGATAATAAAATTGCCACCTATTGCAGTTTCAATTATTTTTATCGACTGACTTGATAAAAATGTTCTCGTCATTAGAGGCCTTCCAATAGATGAAATCTTCTTCAACATTTGGATTTGGAGGTTGTATGATTGTATCGATGTAATTTGTTTCACAATATCATAGGGGAGGTAGCGGGACAATTTTTTGATACTTGAATCCTCTAATATAATTTTGAACCTGTTTAAATAATTTTTAAAAGTACATTCAAATTACATTTAGAATGTGCTTTTATTAAATTCAACAAATAATTAAATTTTTTAAATAAATTTTTACCAAATATAAATTGAAAACTAAATGTACACTCTGCAACAAGAGACACTTTAACGAAAGATAACTTTTGCTTTAGATTCATAAAACATGAGGTATTTAGGGAGAGGTGTCCATTTATGGTACCAAAAGCCTTTGCCCACTTGCCATAATATTCTCCATGAATTTGCTCTAAATATTACAAATGCTAATCCAAGTGTAGGAAGGTATGGTTGGAGCCTGGCAAGTGACAATTGTATTTACCACATGGAACATAAACTCAAAGTTTGTAAGGATTTGTAATGAGCTCTCGACAGACGAGCAAAGTTTCATGATATATGCATTATTTTAGCTTTTAAGCTTTCTCATTTCAAGGCTTCCATTTTTTTGTTTGGAGTTGCACAATCCCAATATATAAAAGTTAAGAGTTATTTTTCTCTTTCAATTGAACGTGAAAAGTTACCAAAAATTTTAAATTCAACTTGAGATTAATTTTATTTTTCAACTTACAGATTCGTTGTCTCCATACCCTTGGCGTGAACTCTCCCAATTCTATCATTATGTTGATTCTATATTTAAATTTTTTGATATTTTTTTAGTGGTCCCATCATTTTTAAAATATTTTTTATAATATAAAAAAAATATCCCTCTCTCTCCTCCCCTTCCCCCCTTCATTCCCTCTCTCTCTCCCTATCCATCTCTGAATCCATATCCTCGACGCGGCCAAATTCTGTGCATCCCATACTCAAGCTCGCAGAGCTTCTTCACTTTCATGACTTTCACATAACCTTTGTTAACTAATTTCAACCATAAATGCCTCCTCAAATCGTGAGGTCCTGATTCCCTCAACGACCTCTCTTCCTTTGATTTCAAAACCATCCCCAATGGCCTTTTTGACTTCGATGATGTCGTTGTCGATGCCACACAAGACATCCCTTCCCTTTGCAAGCCCACACGTAGAACTTGCTTTGTTCCTTTCAGAAACCCCCTCAACAAACTCAATAACTCCCCTAATGTCCCTCCCATCATCGCCATACTTTCTAATGGTGTCATGAGCTTCAAGGTGGCAACCGTCGATGAACTCAGTATCCTAAAGGTCCTTTTCTAGACTACTAGTGCCTATAGGTGGAGCAAGGATCCTAGGTCAGGGGGACAATGACGGAGCCAAGATCCTCACAACAAGAAAGGCTTTTTTATCTCTTTTAAATTCACTCTTTCTCGTTCACTATTTCTTTTTCTTTGTTTCTCAATTCAACTTTCAATTGTAAATTTATAAGTGTAATAAACTAGTGACAGACAATCAATCAGTTTACTCTTGAATCTTGAATCTTCATTTATCATTGTCTTTTTCTGACTAGTCCTTGAATGGTATTTAGAACAAGTACGACGCGACTCTAGTTTAATCAAATTAAATTTTTTCTATTTTTTAAAGGATTAATAAATAATATTAGTATTTAAGTATAATGAAATTGTGGGCTAATATTCATGAGGGTTTGAGTTAAAAAATTGAATAGTTCTAGACTAAAAAAGTAAGAATAAAATGAGTTTAAAATTTAAAATATGAAAATGAGGGATACAAAGTATAATACGTAAATGGTACAAATTACAAAATATAAAAACTCATATTTAAGACAAAGTCATTTTTCCCAAGTGAGGGGGGCCTATGGCCTCCCCTTAATTGCATGTGGCTCTGTCATAATCTATAGGTTTTTTTATTGCGGTCATCATTGTCAATTTATTGGTAAAGGCTTGACATCTATCATTCAAAGTAAACTATTTTCAGTGCTTAAATATTATATATCCAGCTAGCTTCATGTATTTAATATACTCTAATATCACTTTTGGTATCCACAAGATCTTGTTATTGGCGATAACGCAGTTCTTCCCATGGAATTCATCTAAGAAATGAGAAATAGAGGGCTGTTATCAAGTTGGTGGCCACAAGAACAAGTTCTAGCTCATCGTTCAGTGGGAGAATGTTCATGAATACATACATGCCCCCCAATAATCTTTCTAATATAGGTGATTTGGGCTTTGTTATTGTTGCTTTCTCAAAATGTTCTTCCCATAAGCACAAGTATGCTATGTTTTAGGACAATAAAATAGAGGTCTTTGAATAGCATGGTTTTAGCGAGGTTTTCGCAAAAAAAAAAAAAAAAAAAAAAAAACACTCGCCTACTTTCATGAATCTTCGGAGAATCTCCGTGAATAGCATTTGCATGGAGATCCTTACTGATATGCTGCAATGTTTCTTTGTTTTGTTTGGTGTATTAAATTTTGCCTAGTTCCAAGTTCTACTTTCATGTCTCATGCAGATGTTTTTTGTTCTAGCAATGGCTTCTTCATGTGGATGGCAGTGGAATAATTTAAGGAGGTCTGCAATGGCAAAATTCCAGCTCATGAAAATCTCTCCAAGCTCACTCACTCTAGTAAGTCTAACTCACAGTGGGGAGTTGGACAAGGAAAGAGGGAATGGAGGAGAGAGGCGACTGAATCGGCCTCATGCATACAGTTTGACTTGCAGATGGTGGGAGGGGGTGGGGGCGAGAGATGAGAGGGGATGAAAGAGGTGGTGGGCCCACATTTAATATTTTATTATAAAAATATAAAAATAGTGGGACCCACATACTAAAATAAATGGAAAATCTGGCCCATAAACGTTAGGAGCACGGAGTTAATAAATTTCATATGTTCAGGAACAAAAATAATCCACAATTAAATTTAAGATCCCATTAATATTTAGCTTACAGTTGGTGAAAACGACCTTCAACTCATAAATAAATGTGAGTGTTTTTGAACTCTTTTGTAAAATTCTAGAAAAAGTTCATGTTTTTTCCTTATTCTTTTGAACTCATCAAGCTTTCCCGCTCTCTAAGGAGAAATTAGGAAAAAAAGCAAGGATGAAATATGTCTTACCTCTAGTTTTCTTAGATCACAATATAAATCATTTTTTAAAATTTTTGCTTGATTTAGAATATGAGATTGAATAGGTGTTGTATTTTTTTTTTCAAACTACACACTAACTTTGTTGAATGATTAATGAATATTTTAGAATAAATCAAATATTATATTTATTACATTCAAGACACAATTAGAAAGACGTAGGAATTTTTTAAAAAATCAAGATCTTAATCAACTTTTTATCTTTTGATAAATATAAATTAATTAACAATTACTTATAATTTTTTTCTGCCCTTTAATTTTTTTCCCATTGTCTTTGCTAAAAATAACACTTCTAAATTCCTCCAAAATTTGGTGAACATTAAACATGACTTCAACATACTTTTCTCTATTGAACATCATACTCTCAGCTAAGTTCTTGAACATTGAGACATGAAAATTAATTTAAAAATTGAGATGAAAAATTATTTTTTTTCCTTTTAAAGATTAGGATATCATTTTAAATCATCTTACCTTATCCTATTCAATTCTAAACATACTCGCAGCAATAACTAGTAAGCCTATAAAAAAAAGTTGGCTTTTAAAGAAGGGCAAATTAAAAAATGATTTTATTTTTAACTTAAGTTTTACTATATAAATTTAGATATTTTTTTTCATATACTGAACAAAATTTTAAAAACTGAATTGTCAATGGCTTTTGATTATATGAATAATAACTCAAAAGAAATAACTTTTTAATATTTATTCTCATTTTAATTATACTTTTTTGTATGATATAAAATTTTAAAACGAAAAAATTTATAAACAATGCAAATTTTATATTTTTATATCAATGTAGCGATGAAATTAATATGAATATCGATATATCCATAAAATGTATAATAAGCTACACTACTCATATCTGTCTCTCACGCTCATTTCTCATAATTCGCTTACATGATATATCATATATGGCATCCATATGTACAACAATTTAAATCAAACTATAAATTCTGTTACTATTCATTAAACTTGGTACAATGTATGAAAAAACTTGTTTAAATTAATTTTAGAAGATTTAACAGATAGTATTGTAATGGTCTACATTCTTTGCAGGTGGCAGAAAATTCTGGCGCAACTATGAAATGGAAACAGAACCGAATCAAAGTTTTAGGCACATTTGCAACTAACAAGTACCGTCCATGATATCTACCAGCAATTCCTGTACCATACCTCTATCAGGAATCTTGCCTGCCGCACCATATATAGGTGCTAACCCTCCACTTACTGGACCAGGATTTTCTTTTACCTAAATTTAGCCAAACACTAAATTAATAGGCAAACAGCAAAAGATAACTCAAGAAAGTAGCATCATATCAAACAGTATACACTACTATTTTTGACCCTCCTGCGGTAAAAAAAGCAATACATGAACTAATTGAATTAAAATATGAATTAAATAACAATAGTAATAATAATACTAATAATAATGTGGCAAAAAAAAAAAAACTCCTTTTATCATAAGATGCTTTCAACTGCTTCATTGAAATCAATAAATAACAGTTAACTCATTAAGTATGTTTAAAAAAAAAATACCAACTTTACCTATTAAAAATAGAGAGAGAGATATATATAGTATATGATGAGTCATAGAATTACATTTACTTCTATTAAACACCCTACAATAAATATAAAGTCATTCATTAATAGGGGCACTTTTGAAAAAAAAATAATAATTACATCTCAAAAGACTAAAAATGCTTTAAATTTTTGAATATTTAACTTCTCAAAATAGCGTTACATTTTTGAATGGATGGAGTAATAAATAACCCTACATATACCTTATATTAAAGACCAAAGAATCCTTTAAAAAAATATTATATAATAAGGACCGGAGAGAGTACTAATAAGAATACATTTCATTTGATAAACAAAATAAAAAAAGAAAATAAAAAATTAATTTTGAAGAAAAAAGTAACATTTATATGCTGAGCATGAGGTGAGAAAAAATTATGATTAATGATAACAATAATGCAATAGATATTAAACACCTTATTTTTCATTACACAGGAGAAGACGGAGCCTAAGCATTTAAGATACTAAATTTAAAGAGCTGAGAGCATTTTAGTTCGATTATAATTTTGTTTGCAGTGACACGGTCAAAATCACATAAAAATAAAGTGATCCACAAACTACCCCCAACTCTTGGACTGTTGGTTATCATGACTACAGTTCCAAGTTCAAGAGGAGGATACCACTTTGGCGATAGAAGTGAATTTGCTATTTATGGAGAATGGTTCCTTTGTTCCAGTTTGACAATTCAGTTGTACCGTTCATACCACGGATTATATGTGTGCTGTGCTTGTATCTGTTTTTTTCCAGTGCGTCTGTATGGTTGGTACTAACTTGTGTTGTTAACCTTGTATTAATTTGAGTAATGCATTTGACATGCACGCCAACATCCCTGCTCTCGCGAAATATTTAATCAAACCTAAATATCCACACCAAGTAAAAAAAAACTTACGGTCATCACAGAGTCCTTCAAGTCCCTGAGGAAGTCTTCAACAACCGCCAAATGCTGCAGTGTCACACAGATATGAATGCTGATTCAAGAACAAAGAAAAAGAAAGCAATTTTAGTTTCTTTGAAGTGAGAGCCACAATCCAACAAGTAATACTTAAACTAGAAGGTCAACAAATTTCCAAAATAAATATCCCAGATTACAGTAGTGTTGCATGGATCAAACCCCGACCTGTTTGGTCTCTGCAATGCATTCAAGTGCCACCCTCTGGATGACATGATATCATTGACTTCAAATATGTCTAGAACGTCAGATCCAAAAGCCACAATTGTCATATCCGGTCTTCCAACGATGAATAATTCTGGAATCTCACCTATGCTGCACACACCGGAAACACTGCAATCAAACTTCATGAAAGCTGCAACATAACCACACAGAGAGAGAGAGAGAGAGAGAGAGAGAGAGAGAGTATGCATACCCTTCCTGTATTCTTTTCGAAACATCCATAATTGCTTTTGTATTCTCCAGGTAACCTGTAGAATGAAATGGCCCAATAATTGACCATCAACCACGCATTAGGTGTCACATGCAGTAAAAGGAGCAAGTAAATTCTCGCCCCAAACGCTACAGAGTTCGTGGACTGTCACCTTCTTCTCCTAAGGACATCATTGCTGCCCAAGCTCCAGCAATAAGACCTCCAGGCCTGCTTCCAGCCATGGTTGGAGAAACATACAACCCACCAGACCACTCAGTAACTGCAAAATCAACATAAATGAGAAAGCAAAAAAGAAAACTGCAACATATATGCATGATAAGGCAAAGGCCAGACAGGCACAAGGGCACCACCAATACAGAAAGTGGATTTGAAACCCAATTACCACAAGAATTTGCTTCATTATTATTAGCTCTGTTGCTGAAAAACAAACTTTCTCTCCACACAGTGCAATCTCTATCTAGCACTAATTTCTATTAAAAGGTTTTTTTTTTGGAAAAACATAATTTTGGGTCTTTATACTTTGCTTGCGTTTTGTTATAGGTTCCTGCACTTTTTTTTGGGTGTTATAAATCTCCACACTTTTGTTTTTTGGTGTTTTAGGTTTCTCTAAGGTCCCTACACTTTGTTCATTTAAACATTTAAAACACCAAAAAACAAAAGTGTAGAGGGACTTAGAACACTAAAAAAAGTACAAGGACCTATAACACAATGCGAGTAAAGTGCAAGGACCAAAGTTATGTTCCCCCCCTTTTTTAAAAAAAATTATTGACTGGGTTGCAAATATTTTAACTTCTAGGAACATTATTGTAATTGGGATCGTCTATCCACTTTTCATAGTTGGGATCATCTGTCAATGGTTGTTCGGCCTCACAAATGAAATATTTCTCTTGGCTTCTCTGATGTATCGACATAAGGACACTCTATGACTACCATAGATAATTGCTTTCACTGAGTTTGTGCCTACTAATCATTTGGGGAAAGGATTTGGGTAGATTTCCCACCGTTAGAGGTGTGCCAGCTCTCAATTTGGTCAACATTTTAGGCACCCCTCAAAATGGCACAAAGGTGATGCACCATGTGCTACCATGTAGTGTGCCTATTGTGGCAAATAGTACAATGACACCATTTTTCTGGGGCGAATAGAGCACGAATGCTCTAATGCCATGAGAAAACCTAGTAAGCAATACCTTTCTTGTCATTCTGGAACCATTTGCTACTAGAATGTAAAGTGAAAGAGGTAGCAACAAGCTTGCCACTGATAAAGACTTGGTAGTATGGGATACCAAATCTTACATTGAGCAGTATGGAATACTTAATGGGAATTTGAGTGCGTTGGTTCTCTCACCAACTAGCTTTTGGGTAGGGTTCTATTGCCGGGGATTGAAACTAGGTCTCTTGGGTGGAAGTTAGGCATCCTAACAACTGCATGACAAAAGCTAGCTATTGAGATGAAAGAATCAACCGACTTAAATATTCCATTGAGCATCTCATACTACTCAATATGAGACTTGGTATCTCTTAATACCAAGTCTCCATCAGCTACTCAAGTATGAAATTGTTGGGATAAGTCAAAGATATTAATAAAAGCAAGATAAGAAACACTAATCCCACATAATCAGAGATATCAAATAAGAGATAAGATCAGTAGTAATAAATTAAATACTGGACCTTTATTAGTACTGACAAACAAGCATGGACCTTTATTAAATTATTGTATCACACACACACACACACACACACACACACACACACACTCACACAAACAGCATACAACTACATAAACTTTTACGCATTGTAAACCAAAGAAGCAATAGAATAATGAGAATTGTAAACTTACCAGCAACAAATTGATGCTGTTGAGTCCAGAAGCCCAAAATGCAGTATATTAATGATCAGCTTCACACAAGGCACCAACCAATTTGCCATGACAGCATATTGCAGTGAAATAAATCCAAATAGAAAGAAAGGAATGGGGACGGAATGGCGCACAAAAGGGATGTGGATAATAATAGCAATATTTGTTACTATTTCCCACCCAGACATTATTTTCAATTTAATTGCTTTCTCTTGCAAGGCAGTTAGAGATTATCTGTTTAGGGATTCTCCTAGCCAGAGTTCCAAATAGTTTACAAGGGTCATTATTTTGTTTTTAGATAAAAGTCAATCAGTATACCTAGCTATTTCTAGAAAAATGAGTAAGTCAGGATTCAGCCCTTCTATGAAAAGATTACTATCGCAAATAGCCATGTGAAACTATGATGTATGAAGAAACAGAATGTGAGGATTTGCCCAATTCTTCTTTTCCTCTTATATCTCCTATGTACAGTTTAGCTAGCAAAAGAGCATGAAAAATGATGCTTTTCCAACACCTCTTCATGATTTCTTTCAGAAGAGATGAATGACTATGAATATGATACTATCAGACTACTGAAATTGCATGTTGGCTCCATTGATTCATCCTGCTATTTCTAGAATGGGAAACCTATAGTAATCACAACTCATTCTGGGGTTTTCCAAGTTGAAAATACACCTATATACTGACAAGGAACAAAATGACATTAGTTACATATTATTATTTTTAATAATTAACTCAGGTTGTTTACAGCTTCGTGTGAAACCAGTCCAATGTTAAAAATTGCCTTAAGAAGTTTTTTTCCCTTAAAAAAAAAAGAAATAAAAGGAAAAGAAAGAAAGAAAAGAAAAGTGCACATTTTCAGTGGCTTGCTTCAACATACTCCATCTCTGAATTGCTTTTACATTCTTCAGCAAATCAATTAGTTACCTTTCTGATGTCGTGGTTCCTGTATAGTACTATACTCGTTCCTTTAGGAGCTAAACCATATTTATGCACGTCCACTGATATTGAAGAAACTCCTTTAACAGAAAAGTCAAAAGGTGGAATGGAGTACCTAGGAAAAAAAAATAACCATATAAAGCCACGCCTCTTTTTAAAGAAGGGTGGTGGGTGGGGGAGGATTCAGATGTCATGACTCTTCATGCTTAAATGTTAGAAAGTAAGAGTTGGTTTGCATCAAAGTGTTTCAGATTTATAAAATTGCTCTTAAAACATTTAAATTATTAGAGTCTATCAGCCAGCAGAACCGGCCAGCAAAATCAAGAACTTCTTCAAAGAAGAAAAATATTAACTCAATCCTTTGCAGGCAGAGGCTTCACTAAAGATCCAGTTTTATATGTAACTGAAGAATTAGGTTCAAATGTCAGAATTTAAATATGAAAAAAGAAGGACCTAATATGATTTCCCCCATATAAAAAATGAAGCCAAAGAAACACATAACATGACGACAATAGCATTTAGATGAATAACTAAGGCACAAAACTTATGCTGGATTATTGACCATACCCAAGCTTGCGAGCAAAAGGTAATACAAAGCCACCAAGACAGAGGTCAACATGAAAGCAAATTCCGAAGCTTGATGCCAGGTTACCAAGTTCCTATAGAAGAAAGGGGTACATTTACCGTATTATATACCTGATCAAGCAATTTGAATTTAAAATACGTTTTCAGCATTAAAAGAAAAACAAAAAACTTACTTCAATGGGGTCAATTATTCCATGAGGAAATCCAGGGGCAGAACCAACAATCTGAAAGTAAAAGAAAGTTTTAGGCTTAAGCACAAGAAAATTGAGTTGTCAGGAGCTTTCTTAAACACCAAACCTGTGCCACTTCATACAATTTTAAATTTTAATAAAAAAGCCATAACTCCAAAGCATGCATATGAAATCAACAGAAAAGTGACTGTATGTAATCAAGTAACTTAATACCAAGATGGTATTTTTGTTAATATGATGTCGAATTGCTTTTGGATCTGCCTGAAATCTTTTGTTAACAGGGATGCGCCAGAGTTTGATGTTAAAATATTGAGCAGCTTTGTCATATGCTGAGTGTGCAGACTCAGGTATTATCCTACAACAGAAAGAAACTTTCATGAACATATATTTTGAATAATTGACAAACAGAAAGAAACTTTCATGAACATATATTTTGAATAATTGACAAACTGCCAAATATGTTATAGTGATTCACCGATGACATACATTTCAGGTATTGTAATTCCTTTTTTAAACTTCATATAGTCGCGTGATGATTTGACAGCTAATAATATACTTTCAGTCCCTCCCGATGTCATATTTCCACAAATTTGTCCCCCTGAACTCTTTTCTTTGCCTCCAAGAAGTGCAGCGGTCATTGCAACCACTTCTGCCTCAAAGTGTGCAACACTTTGAAATACATCCAAATGCAAGGGATTGGTATGTGCAAACCTGAAATATAATCAAAATAAAATTTTCATTAGACATAAAGAATCTACAGCAAAATCATAATATGGAGTTACTTTAAACATTGCCACAAATGCATGTAAGACTTCCTACACTGCCAATTATGTCCATGCCTCAACACCACCTATGAAATTGTTAACAAAAGCTATCCTTTGAATGATCCCATGAATCTAAAAAGTGTGCAGAATTAGGACTAGCCCGAAATCTGATTTTAATAACAATGTTATGGTCAAAGTAATAAGGTTAAATGCAATATAATGGAAATGTTTTTAAGGGGGTAGGGAGAGGAAAAGTGACAAATTTGGTGAAAAAATACTCCATTATTTCACTATTGCTATTTATAAGAGCTGACTATGATATTTACAAGACTATATCAACATAGAGTAATAAATTTTATCTTAACTTCTAACCACCACCTAATCTATCTATTAAAAAAATAAAATAAATTTGCACAATTTGACTACACATTTTAACACTCCCCCTCAAGTTGGAGAGTGGATGTCATCTATTCCCAACGTGGATGCTAATGTATTAAAATGTTCATTTGATAATCTTTTTGTGAGTATATCTGCCAATTGATTACCAAAAGGTATATAGGGAGTACATATTAGACCACTTTTCAACTTCTCTTTGATAAAGTGTTGATCAATTTCAACATGCTTGGTCTTATCATGTTGTATAGGATTATGAGCAATGTTGATAGCTACCTTCTTGTCACAATATAAGTCTCATTGGACCTACCCATTTGATTATCAAATCTGATAAAATTATCTTTACCCACAACAACTCACAAATTCCAAGTGCCATAACTCTAAACCCAGCTTCAGCACTAGATCTAGATACTACATCCTGCTTCTTACTTCTCCAAGTAATGAGAGTTGAGCCAAGAAACGCATAATAACCTGATTTAGACCTTCTATGATCCATATCCCATCCATGATCTGCATCTGTATATGCTTCAATAGTCAATCTTTTCCCTCTCTTGAATAGAATGCCTTTTCTTGGAGTGCCTTTCAAATACTCAAGTATTCGATAAACCGCTTGTAGATGAAGTTCTTTAGGATCATGTATAAATTGACTTACCACGCTCACAGCATAGGTAATGTCTGGCCTAGTGTGATCTAGATAAATCAATTTCCCAACAAGTTTTTGATAAGATTCCTTATTGACAAAAGGCTCTGGAGAAGGAGGTTTGCTGGCCTTGTGACTTTTCTTTGGCTTGCCAGGATGTTTTCCTTCCTGAAGAAGAATGTTTGATGAACAAAGTATGATCGCCTTAAATCTGTTTGAATCCCATGCCAACCATGGCCTTTGAAAACCTACCAAACCATATTTTGGGTGATTGTTTCAAGTCGTACAAAGCCTTTTTAAGCTTGAAAACAGTACCAGGAGGAAGATGAGAATCAAACCTAGAGGGAATCTCCATATTAATCTCTTCCTTTAAGTCACCATGTAAAAATGCATTCTTCACATCAAACTGCAGCAAATCCCAATCATAGAGAGCTGCTAAAGATAACAAAATATGAAAAGTATTCATTTTCGCAATAGAAGCAACAGTTTCTTCATAGTTAACCCCATATGTTTGAGTATATCATTTGGCAACAAGCCGAGCCTTATATTTGTCTAAAAAACCATCAGAATTGTATTTGGAAGTGAAGACCAATTTACACCCAACAAGCTTCTTTCCCTTCCATAATGGAACGAGATCCCATGTATTGTTGTTCTCAAGTGCGTCCATCTAAACTTTTATTGCCTTAACCCAATTTTCATCTGCTAATGCCTCAGATACAAATTGTGGTATCAAGATGGGATAAAGACTAGTAAGGAAAGCTTTATGACTGCAAGACAATTTCTTATAGGAAAGAAACGAAGACATGGGTATAAGGATTTTTTGGTACAATTGCGGGTCCCTTTTCTCATAGCAATAGGTAGAACGGAATCAAGTTGTTTAGAATTTTTTTCAAATACATCCTGACTATCAAAAACATCATGAGAACTTGAAGGAATTTTAGTATTTTCAGGAAGATTAGGAGTTACCTCACAATTTTCATGCACGAGTTTAGAAGTTTGAGCAGGAGCTATTTCAAATGTTTGGACTTGTGTAAGTTGTGATATTCTCTTCTTCTTCCAAGTGAAAAACCTATAGTGGACGAGTAGATTTAGGACTTGATGATACTTTCAAGGTCTCACTAGGTAAGGAACTAGAAAGTTTGTTGACAAGAGGATCATGACCCTTGTCCTCATCAAGAGGACTCTCTCTTTCAAGAGGGGTATTGACATAAGAATTAGATTCGGAAAAAGTGATATCAGCAAAGACAAAAAACTTCCTAGAAGGAGGATGATAACACTTTTACCCCTTTTGAATAGAGGAATACCCAACAAACATACATTTAAGAGCTTTAAGATCAAGTTTAGTCCTTTGTTGAGAATGCACATGAACAAAGACTACACATCCGAATATTCTAGGCATAAGACCACTTGATGTATTAAAATTAGGGAAAAATTAGGTAAGAACATCAATAGGACTTTTTTTAACCAAGGATTGGGGTTAGAAGTCTATTAATCATGTGTGTAGCAATTAAAACAGCTTCTCCCTAATATTGCGCAGGCACATTAGTTTGAAATAATAAGGCTCTGGTAACATTAAGAAGATGACTATTTTTCCTCTCAATCTCCCCATTTTGTTGGGAAGTATTAACACAGGATGATTCATGTAGAATTCCACGTGTCAAAAAATATAGACAATGATTGATTAAAAAAACCTTTTGCATTGTCAAAGATAAACCTTTGTATCCCAACTCCAAATTGAGTCTTAATCATGTTATAAAATGTGGGAAAAATAATACTAACATCAGATTTTTATTTTAGCAAATAAATCTATGTTACACGAGTGCAATCATCAATAAAGGACACAAAGCATCGAGACCCGCTAACATTAAGGACACTAGAGGGACCCCAAATGTCACTATGAATCAAGCTAAAAGGAACTGAAGTTCTTTTATTACTTATAAGATATGAAGATCATTTATGTTTTGCAAGCTCGCATACATCACAATGAAAGGACTCAGCAGGTACATCTTTAAACCAAGAAGGAAACATAGCTTTCAAAATATTAAATAAAGGGTGACCCAAATGACAATGATGAAGCCAAATTTGGTCTTTTCTAGACTCGACTCTTTTTGACTAAGAAGAGGAGGAAGCCATCAAGCTTTGAATCCTACTACATTCACTAGGCTCATCAAAAAAATAAAGTTCATCTCTTTCTTCAGCAAGTCCAACCATCTGATTTGTCTCTCGCTCCTGAAAAAGACAAGAGATAGAAGAGAATAGGACATAACAATCAAAATCTGCAGTAAGTTTTTTCACAGAGATAAGGTTTATGAACAGTTTAGGAACATGCAAGACATTTTTTAAGAGAAGACTATCACTCAATCTGACATTCCGTTGACTAGCAATAGTAGCTACAGACTCGTCACCCCACATGATTTTTCTAGTACTAGGACATAGATTATAAGATACGAAATTCTTGGAGGAATTTGTCAAATGGCTTGAGGCTCCCAAATCTAAAATCCAAGAGTGAAAAAAATCTTGTTTTGAGGCAATAAATGTAGATAAAAATAAGACAAATGAAGGCTAAAAGGAGATACCTGAGAACCCCAAAGAACAGATACCTATACTAGAACTAGAAGTAGTTTCCTTGTCAAGTGACTCTAGCATAGATCTTAGTTTTTTAATCTCCCCCTTAAAATTAATCTGACTAGAATTCTCCCTGGTAGAATCAATGGCCACATGAGCTTGTCCTTTTTTCATATTTGGAAGCTTACCATGCAGCTTCTAGCACTTCTCCTTGGTGTGCCACAGCCTCTTGCAATGAGAGCAACGAAGAGGTTCTTTCTTAGAAGAGTCTCCTTGTTTTTCATTTTCCACAGAATAAGGAGCAACATTCCTTAAAATCATGGAAGAGCTTTCCACAGATGGAGTTTCCATCATCACTCCTTGACAGCCTTCTTCTGCTAATACAACGGCAATGGTCTCACTGAGAGAGGGAATATCTTCCCGACCAAGAATTTGAACTCTTATAGAATTCAAATTTTAAATTAAGTCCAGCAAGATACTCAAAAATTCTTTGCTTCTCAATGAAGCGTTTAAAGGTAGCTACATCATTAGAATCTTTCAAAGTAATACACTGATAATGGTCTGATTCTTGCCACAAGCTCTTCATAAGGGTAGAGTATTTAGTGATAGATTTATTGCCCTACTTGGTAGTGGAAATCTTGGTCTGTATCTCATAAATTTGTGTAGCATCCTTCACCTTCAAGTAAGTATGGTGCACCGTATCCTAAATCTCCTTAGCTGAGGACAGAAACAAACACGTGCGACTAACTTCAAGGGCCATAGATTGCCACAGCTAAGACATTACCATTGAGTCTGCTTCATCCCAAGCATCGAACCTGGGTTCTCTTGGCTTAGGACCAGTGCCAAGTAAATGACTAAGCTTCCCTCAACCCTTTAAAAAGGTACGAACATATTGACACCAAGCTAGAAAGTTGGCTCCAGTCAATCGATAAGCAATCGGACATGATTGAAACAAGGAAAGAAGGAGATTCCGAGTAGAATGGTGACCGGGGGCCAAACGGAGCCCAGACATGCTCTCACGCGTCGAAAACACAATATTGGGCAAATTCAGTTAGGCAGCATGTGCATTGGTAGACGGTGGTCAGACTTTTGGTTCAGCCGATTAGCAGCAGGCAAAGGTGATGATCTAATACATGTAGGGTAAATGGTCTTCAGCAATAGTAGGTTTCACTGTTCGGAACTCTAATGTATAGAGACAGCTAAACCCTAATGCAAAAATGAACCCAATCTCAAAAAACTCTAAGCCTTAGATAGGCTCTGATACCATGACAAATTTGGTAAAAAAATATCCTTCATTATTTCACTATTGCTATTTACAAGAGTTGGCTGTGTTATTTATAAGAGTATATCAATACAGAGTAATAAATGTTATCTTAACCTCTAACCACCGATTAATCTATATATTAAAGAAATAAAATAAATTTACACAATTTAACTATACATTTTAACAAAAAGGAAAGGTACAGAATTTTGCTTGGAATTAATTTAATGGGAAGAGGAAATGGAAAGGTAAAAAGTAAAAATTCTCTTCTTTCTCTCAATCTTTCATGCTCTAACAACATAATATTTCAAGTTTAAGCAATCAGGGAGTTCCCCAGGCCTTGCAGGATATATCAGATGCTGAATGGTCTAAAAGCAAAACACATAATGATAAGATGACCCCAGCTTCAAAAACATATGACAGGAAATTGGACACCATGCGCAAATTACACTGTTAGTTACTTAGTCACATTATCATTGAATTATGCATAAATAATTCCATATTAAAAATGCAAACTTAAATAAGACACTGGTAGAAACGTCAACTGACAACTCTGCCGTGTACTAACATTGAGCATGCCTCATTTATCAAAGAAAAGTGTGCATCAAATTCACTTCCTCCGATGTAGCTGCAAGAAATAAACAAAGCAATGAAACAGAAAGTGTCAGGTGGATGAACCTGAGAAGTAAGGGGAAGTGAATCAACATAGGGAAAAAAGAACCCACAAAAAAAATAACTAAATAAGCAGAACTTGACATTAAATGTAACAAAATTAGAAACATACACTGTACCAGAGCATCTGCCTTGCCAAATCACATCATTTCTCTTCTCATCTCTCATTTTCTCCAGAACTTCCATCCCTAGTCCTACCCTTGGTAACTCTGTTCTCCAACCTTCCCTTTTAGATTTACGGTCATACTGCAACTTATCCACAACCTGTTTCCCAATGATTAGATCATCCACAAATGACTTAACTTCCAGGGCTTAGAGGGAAAAAAGTTAAAGCAAAGTGTGGGCTTGTAAAAAGTAATCTGACCGTGATTTATGAAACAAGAATGAGAAAGAATTATAAGGCACACCAGGTGCATGTACACCTTACAACCATGATTTATTTTGCACGGAAGATCCACACATGAAATATATCTTCACCATTGGGTGTTTGAGCACCAAATGCACACAAGCATTTCTTCAACAACAATACCATGCAAGAGATTCAAGACAATGCTTAAGAAGATAATTCAATGAACAAGGCTAAATAAAAGTTTGCACAGCATCGAGATGTTCTGATGTTCACATAGGACACCAAAATAAACATTAAGCATAACAATATGAAATGCTAGTGGCCAGGGATTAAACATGCATGTTCAATAAGCAAGGGTGTCACCTTATGCCATGTCTAAGTCACTTTACCATTCAAGCACGGTGCTATCTTTGGATTTTGGCAGTAGACCAAACTAACCTGAACTAGTAAGTAGATTGGGCACTGACATTTTAGATGGAGAAATTTCAAAATTCAATTTCTGTCATCCCAAAAGTTTTGTGATGTCAAAAACAGGAAAATTGAACTGATCATTGCTCTGATAAATCTAACTCTCAACCAAATTATTGTGGCAAGTTGAATATAATCCAGCAAAGAACAAAATTAATGTAGAACGTAATTCAGCATTAAAAGCTTGATGATATCGAGTAGACTCTAGTCACAAGTCAATGCATGGTATCGTCGACAGATGTAGGGAAATTAAAGCGACTGCTTATTTATCCAAGCAATTGAGTACGCTCGCTAGAATACGTCCCCTGGCCAAGCAATGTACAAAATCAAAACTCATTGTAAGAACTGTGTGAAAAATAATCTGGTAGCGATGAGCCAATGGCTTCTCCTTACATTCCATATGGCATTTTACCAGCAACGATGTAGAAAAAGTAAGAATTGGTTAACTCTCAGGGACGGAAAATAGGACAGATGCAGACAAAACGTCAAAAGCTTGTGAAAAAACACATTACCTTCTGTTTTTCGGCATTGATGTAACTCTTCACACCAGGGATCAATCTGTCGGTGCACATAGATCACAAATATGGACTAAGCATATATCCATTTGGCTTTATAATATAATTCTCTTAAATTATTAAAATAAAAGCAATGGGTAAAATTTGAATTAGAGAAAATTTAATTAGACAAGCTACTTGATTGAGTTGATGAGTAGCCCCAGAAGAGTAGGTTTAAGTCCTTTATCGTGCACGAGATGAAAAAACGATCGAATTGTGCTGGCGAGAAGGACAGTGAGCAGAGGAGAGAGAAGCAGAACGATTGGTTCGTATTGAGATAGGAATGAATTGGCATAATTTCTGAAAAGATCGAGGCATAAAATCAAACCAAAATCCATTGTGTTCCAGGGAAGCAAGTCAACGAATATAGCGATAAATTTTAAATCGGACGAACGGAGCGAGGGAGGATTTCAGCGAATGCTGCGTGAAGGAAATGGATCAGGGTAGAGTCTAGAGATGATATTCCGTGCTGATCCGACTACAAGGTTACTCATCACCCGGGTCCGAGTTCTGCATCATTCAGACGTGAAGCTTCTTATTCTTATTTTTATTTTTATCAAATTTAAACATTTTTAAATAAATTTGTTCACCACTAACCTTAAAAATACAGATTTAGCTTATATTAAATAATAAAAAATTTGAAATTTTAAATTTCGCAGGTTGACTATCATATAAATATAAAAAATAGGTAAATTAACTACTTAAATATACTTTGAATAATAAAAATATAATTTGAGCATCTAATTTAACATTTTTTTAAAAAAATTAATTATCTATATATATCATGGACAGAATGGATTTAGCATTAATCTTTCTATAATTTTTATAATTTTTTTATTTTAATAACTAAAATATTTAAAATTATTCAAAAATTAATTTAAGAGCAAAGTTCATGTAATTAATCTTATATACTTTTATACTTTTATTAAATCAAATTAAAACAAGTAAATTTTAATAGATTAATAATATTAATAACCAGAATTTATTATAAATTAAATAATTTATAAAAATTTACATATTTAATTGAAAATAATTACTTTAAGTATATAATATTAAGTATATAAATTTTTTTCTTAATTTAAAATGAAGGTTCCCTAACATCCTGAGTTTTAAATTTTGAATTAAATAAATTAATGAAAGATAAGAAAATCTGTGTATTTTACTTAAGGATGATTAGAAACGAGTAATAAGCCTGTTAAATTAGTTGATAGCCTCTTATTGAGTTTGAAAATGTCATGAGCCACTTGGACCTAATTAGAGAAGCAAATTCAAGCCTAGTCTGTTCGTACCATCTACCCTGATGAACGCTTTGCATTGTGATAGAAGGCACAAAGTTTGGAACTAAAATAGCGTGCTCACATGTGCGACTGGAGAAAAAGATAATAGGGTGTTATGAGCTTAGTTACACTTTAGTAAGTGATGCACACAAATTAAACGCACCACAAGTGTATAAATCAAATGTCATAAAGCAAATCAAGATCATCCCACAAGAAAATAAAGTAAAAGGAATTAAGCACCAACAAAATTAATCTCATCTTAATTTTGTCGACCAATCAAAGAGTAAAGTTTTACAAACTTAAAATTAATCAGTCATAAAAGCAATAAAAATGATACTGTTGTAAGATAAGCAATCAAGAAATACCCTAAAAATTCTAACTCTCTTGTATACTTTGCAATTCAATTTTACATATAAGTACCCGTCCATGACAAAAAGCCATAATATAACTAATCGTAATGTCTTGTACAAGTGAAGATCCAATGTGCACAATCTATATAACGATTACCATGAGCTCTGATCATGAATAAAACAACCATTAATTCAAGGGGGGGGGGGGGCGCTCATCCATATTTAAACGTGTTTTTAACAATTGAAAAGTGATAAACATAATGCAACCATTCCCAGGCATCCAGGTGCACCTAATGCAACTATTCCTTGATCTGACAGCTCAGCACAGAATATGTGAATGTTTAGATGTACTTTAGACCCGAGATATATTGTTGTCTAGAGATTAGATACTGGGCCAGGGAATATATCATTCCTACTAAACCCAATATCCTAATTTTGAGCACATCTCCCATTACAATAGAAGGCAGATTAAGAGGTAACGTAAGCAATGGGGTCGCATCTGAATGCTTAGCATAACTCCAAACGTACCTGTTAAAAAGTATATGACTAGGAAATGTAAGAATGAGGAGGGCCAAATTCTTCACCACAAAGGCCCAATCTGGCCCACCAATTTGAAGACCCCATCCAGCATCACCATGCCAGACATCTTCCAATATGCTGTAGAGGGAAGTCAAAACCAAATAAGCTGAGATCACAAGAGTCACAGGAAAATATCTTTGCTTGTCCCCAAAACCAGCAACAAAATCAGAGTCCTGATTGAGCAGCAGCAAGATAGGAGCCAAGAAAAATATGGCCCGGTTTGAGCCTCCAGTAACGTTAATATTCAATATGAGGCATATCGCAAAGCACATTATTGTTGCAACATTACCAACAGCAGGCATCCATGCTCCATCCGCAGCCATCCTCTTGACAGTAAAGGAGGAAGTGGAGGCTCTTCGTTGAATGAATCTAGCTCTAGGTGGGAAGCTAGTAGATCCATCTTGACCAGAATAATTATGCCTAGTTCCACCTCTGTCAACTACCTTTTCCCGCAAAATTGTAGCAAGTTCATATTTGATCTCTAAGGCTATAAGCATAAAGATTGCCGCATACAAACCAAGAAGGGATGTCCTGGCACCCTCAACAGCCAGCAAAGTCGTAAATTTCTCCTCCTCCGCATCCATACCTCCTATTTCTCTATTTTGAAGTACATTTTTAATTCTCATTTGACCCTCCAAAAGATATGTAACAGGAAAGAGAGCCACAAGAAGTGCAAATACCCAAGGCAGAAGCTTAGTGCTCGAAGCAGAGGGAAAATGAGTGAAAATGACAAAAACAGAGGCACAAACCATAGTGACTACAATGAGGGCATGCAAGACAGCTGCCTGCAGAAAGTACTCAGCAGAAATGTAGGTACCAAGTGCAACCCCTATGGATATGGAGTAAAATGCTCTAAGTTCAACGATGTACTTAATGGGTAAGACAGACATGACAGATGCTAGAGTGAGCAAAATTACAATAATAAGCAGCCAAGAAGGCCAAGTAGCCTTCTGAACCATGTAACCATAAATTGAGATATCATCAGCAGATTGACGTGCAGCTTTGATTAGATCAGAGTGATAACTCAACAGCACTGGTATTGGCGGCTGCATCAAGATGAAAAGTAGACCCATAGCCACAACCAGCACTAGGCATCTTTTGGCAGACTGAAAAGACAAGTAAAATACCTTGATTACTTGGTACCATCCATGCATGAACAAAATAGACATAATGGCTCATTCCATCAACGAGAGACGCCTTCAAAATTGTAATAAAGCAGGAAATTGCCTAAAATTTGCAATGCATATAGAATTTCCCCCACCCCAGGACCTTCTATGTTGCCAAAAATAATATGGATAGGATAGTTCTTACTTACCAATGCATGAGAGAAGTGGAGAGCGACAATAGGAATACAAGCTAACCCTGTCAATAGTATACAGAAGCCCAGAAGTAAACCATCTGACGGAGATCTCCCATTCCACCACTGGAGGACTTCGAAAATTGTCTCACGACAAAACCACACAGATAATGCAACCACAGATCCATGCACATAACCTTGCCATGGTTTCATCCTTGAAGCCATTCTAGATCTATCCCTATGAAATCCAACAATAAAATATATCAAACACACTAGGAATGCTTCAAACTGATATTGGCAATGCTAGAACAATAATTACCTGTAAAGAAGTAATGGAGGTGAAACAGCTAATAAGAGAACAGAGGAAACCCAAACAACAGGCTTGGATGCAACAAACAACATTGCCAGCTTTGAAGAATAAAGGCAAGTTAAAATCCAAACAGTTTTTGCTCCAATGCGATGATCTACAGATAGCTTTCTTACCAAAGCCAGACCCAAAAAAGTTGTCATGATAACCATATAGCTTGGATATATCACCTCATCCTCAAATCCATAGTAGTAAATGGCGGAGTAATTGAAAAGTCGATTCTCAATGTGGCATATTAGCAACACGTGGCTTATCAAGCTTATCTCAGTTAAAAAGTGAAACTTAGAAGGTAGAAGAGCTAAACCAGGAACAGCCATGGCCAGAGCAACATTTGCTATTATAAGTTTACAGAATGATTTCAAGGGCATGCCCCCCAGCCAAATATTTAAATCCCAAAAGTTGTGCAGCACAAACCATACAACCATCAAGCTCCCAAGTATGACAAAAGCAAAGTATGATGCCAAACTCTTCTTCACAAAGAAACGAGCAAAATAAAAGCCAGCAACTGACGGGAGAGGAAGGAACTGCAAATTAAACACAGATGCTAACTCAATTCATGTAAGAGTAGGAAAAGTCATAAGGTTTCATGAAACTAAATCATTTAATCACTAAGTATAAGAAATAGAAATAAGCTTGTGTGGTTTTATTATCATCAACTAAATAGCTCAGCAGGTCAAGAACAGAATATTTTTGTAGATCAGAAGAGACAAGCATTTAACTATGCCATACTTGATATATTGAATGTCAGCTCAAATCATCTCTACCATCAAGCTAAAGTGCAAAACAAAGTTCATCACACCGGAGAAGAGATTTGCCACCTTATTATCACGGCGCTTTTACACATTTCCCAACAATGTGATCAGAACATTAATATCATCTAGATTCTTGCAACTCAATATCTTATCAGAAGTATGACTACAGACTACCATTAGCAAATGTGAAAACCTAGGGAGCATAAGCCCATTCAGATTTATTGTGGAAACAAATTTAATGGTCCCCAGCAAAAAGATTGCAAAATAGATAAAAATATCTTTACTGGTATAATTGAATTAGTCCACAGAT